AATCATGGAACACTACATCTAAAACTAATGATGTAATGTATGGGGATTAACATAAGAATAAAAAAAAATAAATAAAAAAAATCAAGAGAAAAACAACTGTACAATGTGGCTTACAAGGGTTTTTAATACTGCCCTATAAAAATATAGTACAAATGTGTTTATTTTAGCAAAACTTGCAAACAAGGAAGAGACTTGCTTCATGGAATAATTTACTTAAAAGTCTGGTAACAGGCGCCTGGGTGGCTCAGTCGGTTAAGCATCTGACTGGTGATTTCGGCTCAGGTCATGACCCCTTGGGTCCTAGGATTGAGCCCTGCATCCTGCTCCACACTCAGTGGGGAGTCTGCTTGGGATTTTCTCTCTCTCTGCCCCTGCCCCCACTAGCGTGTGTGCGCCCTCTCTCCCTCTCTAAAATAAAATCTTAAAGGGGCGCCTGCGTGGCTCAGTCGTTAAGCGTCTGCCTTCGGCTCAGGTCATGATCCCAGGGTCCTGGGATCGAGCCCCGCATCGGGCTCCCTGCTCGGCGGGAAGCCTGCTTCTCTCTCTCCCACTCCCCCTGCTTGTGTTCCCTCTCTCACTGTGTCTCTCTCTGACAAATAAATAAAATCTTTAAAAAAAAAAAAAATCTTAAAAAAAAAAAAGTCTGGAAACATGCAAAGAAACCGATGTAGGGCTTTTTGTTTGTTTTTAAACGGTGTTTGTCTCTTTCACCTCAGGGCCACGGCAGGTGGCTGCGCCCTGCCTTAGCTGGTGACACCTGAATCCCACTTCCCACCTTTCTACAAATGACAGGAAAGCAGTGTGCTTTGCTGGCTCTGCTATTTTGCACAGGAACTTCATTTTGTTCTCCAAAATCATCATGCTGCCAGGAGTCAGAATCTTCCCGAGCCTTCGGACATCAGGCGAGGACTTTTCACTGTGACACAATACTCAGGACTCAGAATGCACTGAACTCATAGATGATTTATTGCTTTAAGTAACTAAACAAGAAAGAGAAGAGACAGGCTGTTGTTTGGATCAAGACAATCGGCATTCTCTCTCCACCGTTTGCCAGTTGCATCTACTTAAAGCCTTAACAATACTTTCTGGACAATATAAACACGTGATGGCATACATGGAAACAACTTGGCCAATGATACACTGATTTAAATAGCACATAACAAGGGCTCCCAACTGGCCGGGTTGCCCTGAAACGACAGAAAGAACGTGTGTTCGTACGATGTGCTGAGTACAAAACCCTTAAAAAAGTTTTTGGCATTAATACTAATACAGAGTACTTTCTCGGACATTCTGCAAGAGCAGGGGCACACACAGAATTACCTCTTCATTTCCAGATTACCAGTATCTATGGGAATACTTCAAGAAAAGCTGGGAGGTGGGACACCTCCCCTCCCCACCGTCATTTTCTTTGCTGAAGCAGCAGGTCTGTGGGGTTGAGACGGAGCAGGGCCCCTGATGGCCTCCAGGCGTTGTCACATCACCCAGTAACTGCAGAGAGCAGCAGGGGATGGACAGTGCCCCAGCAAGGGCGGTAGGGGTGGGAGGGAAGGAATAACAGACAGCCTTGGTTTGTGGCCAGGGAGGCCCAAGGAGGGACTTGACTCAAATGTTCCCTGGAGGCCCTGGGGGTGGACACAGGCACTGGCTGGCCCAGTCCCTCCTGTGGGACTGGGAAACGGATGAAGAAATAACTTGACCTCTTGTATTCTAACACTGGGGCATTACGACACATTTCTAATGGATGTGCGGAGACCAACACGGTCAGGGACCCAGCCCTCAGAGGGCCCGGGTGAACTCACAAGAAGAGGTCAGGCCAAGCCAAAGGGTAACACGGGACAATGGGGCAAACTGGCCCCCAACCCGGATGCCGGCACGGAGCCTCGGGTCTGCCGGCTCATCAGGCTTTCAACACCAATGCTCTAGACTCAATTGTCTTCCACCGTGGTGGGCTCTGCGGCCACCTCCCCGGCACCTCCCTCCCTGGCATCCTCCCCGGAATGGGAGTGCCCAGTGCAGCCCCCCTCGGGGGCCCTACAGGGCCCAGCGGGACCATTTTGCACAACCTCGCCCTCCACGCAGAACCGGTCGGGACACTGCTTCCCTTCTGTGACCTCCTGGATGGGGACCTTCAACTCCTTGGAGGCCTCGTCCTCCTGACACAGGCCTGGCACACAGTTTCCCATGTCTCCGGCTTTGGAAAACTGGTCTTCTAAATTCTTCTCGTTTTCTTCTGCTTGTCGCTTTTCTCTGGCACTCATTTTACTTTTGGATTTCCTCATCTGCCTGCTGTGCATGTCTTCTCGGGAGAATCGCCACTGGAACTAGGATCAGAGAGGAGAGGGATAAATAAATGCAGTCTCCGTGAACCAAGAGCTTCACCTGATCGTCTGCTTTTATTTGCACCCATGTCACTTTTTTGGAGCAAGACACACAATTCCCCGTGTTCCTGAAGCAGAGCATTACCAGTGCCAAACTTGAATCGTGGCCCAAACACATCACACCCACGGCAAGAGCCTGCCCGATGCCTTCCATGAGGTGTATCTCAGATGTGAAGTTCAGGGGTCTCTGGGGACGAGGGAGTATGTCTTTCAGTTGGCTCTGGGAAAGGAGGTCCTGACATCCTATCACTTGGAGAAGCAGGATGGGAGAAGAGACGTGGGGCTGCCCCTCGTAAGAGCCACGGCGCTGGCTGCTCGCTTCCATTCTGAGCGGGCTGTGGGTTACCAAGCCCTGGGCCTGCATTCTCTTACCAGATGACCGGAGTTAGAAGGGCACAGAAGCTGGCCCGGCGCTGTGCTGCGTGCCCCACCCCCCTGTCCCAACTCAGGCCAACTTAAATGGGATTTTCCGGGCTCCAGGGTTCCCCGGGGGGGCTGGCTAATAAAGCCACTGCTGTGACTGCCTCACGGCCCAGCTTCTCCCCCTGCCCACTCCTGTGCCCTCCTTTCCCCACAGGTGTTCCCGGGGGCACTGCCCCTAAAAATGTCCTCCACCCAAACCTATCCGACGCTGCTTCCTGGGGAGCTGCCCGGCAACTAAGCATTTCCCCATGAGACGGAGGTCAACAGAGGCTCAGCGAGGACAAGGTTGCCCAGTCAGTAACGGAGCTGGGCAAGAACGGGTCATGTTGAAGCTATGAGGTGAGACGGGGCACGAAGAGGCCCCATGATCGGGCAGTGCCCACGGGCCATAGACGTTGCTGTTGGGGGCGGCGGCAGTGGTGCTGAGGTCCGAAGGCAGCGTCCGGCCCGGACGCTATGGGGCCTCGAGACACCGGCCTGGCAGCCTCTGCTAAGGGATCTGACGCATTGCCTTGCGGCACCGGGATCCCGTGGTTGGAACTCAGGGCGTGGGTAGAGGAAGCTCAAACTATCCCAGAGGAAAGTTAGCTGTCCGTCCTTGGGCAAGTTATTAATCTCTCCAAGTCTCACATTCCTGATCTCTCCAATAGTCGTCTGCCCCCAGGGCTGTGCTGCCCCTCTGGGGCCCGTTCCTGCTGTCGCGGGTGCAGAGAGCGCCCCCTGCGGTCGAGCAGTGTACAACCGTGGACGAGTCGGCCTGTGCCCGATTCTATCCTGGACTCTTATTCTAAAGCAAACCCAGCTCGTCTCCCAGGGACTGCTCTTGCTAACGAAGCAGAACTTCCGTGCGTCCTCTGGAAGCCCAGCCATCTTAGTTTCATGTAGAAGACCACATTTTGTTGATGTGATATAATCCACCAGGAGAACACACCAGCCACTTTCTCCAGGGACCCGCCGGGCTGCCGGGCAGAGGATTTGGGGCTGTGAGCACCGAGCTGGTGGGAACTATCCCAGGCAACGTTTTCTGTCCTTCTTAGTCACCACAGGGAAATCTGTCAAGCCACATGCTTTCTAGGACTACACGGTCTTCTGTTCCTCACACGGGCCATGGTGATGTCACTCACTCCCCCTGCTGCCTGGGGGGTCCCCAATCCCCCCACAGCTGTCACGGGTCCTGCAGCCAAGTACTGAGGAGGCCCTGACTCAACTCTCCCTTTTCCTGCTCCTCTCTCTCCCAGGGGCATTCTCCTGAAGCAGGGAAACAGCAGGGGCCCAAACCCAGGGTCTGTATCATCTGAAAGCAAAATGTTCCAGAGTGTGAAGGCAGACTGCCTGCAGATACTTGCCTGGGAAGGAAAAAGCCCACACCAAGGTGCCTACCATGTCTTTCACACTGTGGCAAGGTCTCCCATTTCCCTGAATCTCCAAAGCAGTACTCTCACTAGTCATGGTTACCATGATTTTATAGATGAGCGCATAGAGGTTCAGAGAGATTGAGTAACTTGCCCAAAGTCACACAGCTAGAAAAGAGCATGCTGGAATTCAGACACAGGTGTCTCTGGCTCCACACAACCTCATTCTTGGTGGATGAGAGGCTTTAGGCTCTCGCCCTAGCGGCAAGGGAAGAGAGGAAACTAAGGGAGAGGACAGGCACCTTTGGAAGGGCTCAGCCCAACACATAAGCACCTCACCTTTCAGACTATGATGTGAAGTTGCTAGGCCAAGTGGTCAGCTAATGGAAATCCAGATTTAACTGCCATTAAAGATACTTTGGTTTGGCTTACTTAAAAAAAGATCTACGCCGAAGCCTCCCTGACAGGCCCATTTAAAAAAACAAAAAAATTTCAATAATGATAAAATTTGAACGGCAGTCCACAGGTGAGCCAAGAAAGGACCCTACACTATTTAATGAAAACACTGGCCCTCAGACTTGAGTGGGCATCACAATCATCCAGAGGGCTCCTGAAACACATCACTCACTCTGTCCCAGAGTTTCTGACTCAGTGCAACCTGGGGAGGGGAGGGAAACTTTGCATTTTTAACAAACTCCCAGGTAAGGCCCATACCGCTAGTCCACGGGCCCCAGTCTGAGAAGCACTGAGCTAAGAGAAAGACACCCCTTGCCCTCCTGCAGCTCCCCCGCTCTGCCCCTCATGGAGGGCCTTTCTTGCCTCCCTCCCATCCTCACACCCAGTCCCTTCACCACTCCCTTCTCCTTCTCCTTTAAACGGAGGACAGTTGGGGGTTTTAACAAACAACAATTGTTCCAGATCCCAAGGCTCCACAAGGCAACGTCTCAGAAAGCAAGATGAGCGGAAGCAGGGACACAGCCACCCCTGGGACTGTGACAGCTTTTGGGGCTGAGGCTCCGAGGGGAGGTCTGTAACATCCACACGCTTAAAGGCAGGCGGCCCAGCCGGGAGGAGGGAGGACGGGAGGACGAGAGGACGAGGCGCTGCCTCATCTGGAGCGGTACCAGGGAGAGCCTGTGAACAAATTAGGCCGCCCGCACCAATGCCGGGGCCTTCCCCAGCCAGCGTGTCCGTGGCACCCAGGTGCGCCGCTGGCGCCCACACCAGGAAAGGTTCCCACTAGCCGTCCATGTCAGAAAGAAGTGTGGAAAAGAAAAAAATCCTTCCCTCGCCAGCAGTGTGGGTCCGGAGTGCCATGTCGGCAAGGGCTAAAGGATTTAATTCCCACATTTTAAAAACTGTCCGTTACCTGCCTCCACTTCAAGGAGTGTAGCTGGAAGGAAGACTTTGGTGTGGGAGAAATCATCTATTACCTTGGAAGGAGTTTAATTATTTGCTTTGAAAGCCCCACTCACGTGCACACAAAGAGGTTTCTTTCAAATGCTGAGAAGTCTTGATGGGAGAATTTTCTCCACTTTGCTGATTAAAAGAGGCCTCAACGTGCTGTGTCCTTGGGTCCAGCCTTGCGGTCCCTTTTCTTAGATTTCAATCCAGACATAATACGAATGTCCTGGGCTCACACGTTTCATTACTCATACATACAAAGGAAAGGAAGAGAGAGTCTGAGGCAGAGGGCACAGCCAGAGCAAAGGCCCTGCAGCAAGAAGGGACACAGAAGTAGCTGTGCAGGAGTTGCTGCATTTTCAATGCAGAAAATGGGGATGGAGGCAGAAGAACCAAGAGGGGCCAGACCACACATGGCCTTGTGGATCCCGTGCAGACTCCCATCTTTATCTTAAGAACCACACAACGCTTTAGAACCATTTTAAGCCGTGGGGTGACACGATTCAGTGTGCTTTTGTAAAAGATTCCCTTGGCTCCTAGTGGAGAACATATTTGAAGGGGAGACCTGTTACCAGAGGATTAGAGTTGTGGAGGCACAGGATGGTGGCGAGAAGTGGAGGGAAGAAAGCTCCTAGGACCTAAAATAGACAGGTCTTGAGGATAGAGTGACCGTGGCAGCGAGGAGACGGCGAGTCAAGGGTGAGCCCTGGGTGGGTGGGTGCCTCTGGATGGTGGTGGTGCCCTTGTTCTAGATTTCCAGTACTGAAAATGCAGGTGTGGGAGTCATCAACTCAGGTGGTCAGATGTCTCATTCCGGGGATGAATGAGATTTTCTAAGAGGCCAAAGAGTGAGAGAGAAACGGGGCTGGGTCTGAACAACCTGCTGGAAAACCAGGACAGTGTGGGGCCAGAGCCAAGAGAAAGAGGTGCTTCAAGAGGCAGAGGGCGGTCAACAGTGTCAGTCCTGCGGGGGCTGAGGCATGGTGAGGACTTGATGGAGTCGTTGTCATGGCCACCAGGGTACCCATGGCTCGTGGGAGCAGGCTGCCAACCTGAGTCAGCGGCAGAGCCATCGGCCAGGACGGGGAGAGGGAGACAAGCCATCTGGCTGTAAAGTCCCCCTCTCTGGGACTCCACCAGTGAGCGAGGTGACCTCTCCAGGTCACACAGGAAACCTGTGCTCGACAGGAGCCAACCCTATGAATGGGCAGGAGATAAATAAGGAGAAAACAGCCACTCGCTTTAGTACAGCTGATTGCGGTTGGAAGGGTCTACCCATCAGCAAATAGACGACCCCATCCTCTCGATTTTCCCTGAGGGAAGTCGGTCCACCTCCTTACAGCAGCTTTAAAACACTACCTCTAAGATCTCCTGCTTGTCCTCCTCCGGGAGCCGCACAGCCTTCGTACCAAAATCAAACCCCACGTCAGCGTGGCCTCCTTCTCTTTATTAAAGGCAGAGCGGGTGTGTTCTGGCGTCTGATGGCAGCCTGGCCAGTGCTGTTGCTGAACGTCACTGTGAATGCACGCAGTCCCCAGGAGCCTAGGGCCAAGCTGCCGCTAACAGTGGTCCCGGGAAGATCCATCTTCCAGCCGGTGGCTGACTGCCCCTGGTGGTTAATGGTGACTTCAGCGGTTGCCTTCTGGCCCTCTGCTGCTGGCACCTGTCACATTAGCATCTTGGAGCTGAGACAGAGACCTTCCTCTGCATTCTACACCATCTGGCTTCAGGTCGCCATATCCTTGGCGTTCCTCCCAGGAGCCCCCCCCTCCCCACCCTGGGTTTGCCGGCTGGCGAGGGGCTGCTACAATCTGTTCACTTGCTTGTTGCTCCTGTCCAGGCTCCGTGTCCAGACAACATGAGGGGCTAAGAGGGGAGTATGGGGAGGGGCCAAGCATGAGGAGAGGAGCAGGTGCATCAGGCTCTGCAAGAGAGCGCTGTCTTGGCCATCAAAGGCGGCTCAGGCTGGCTTCAGGTGACACCTGACTAGGGCTTTCGTAAGTTCCCCAGACTCCCCCATCTCTTCCCGAGCAAATGGTGACTCGCCCACAGGAGAATCACCCACCAGCTGCAAAGTCATCTAACTCAAGGGAAGGACTTGGGTTTGACTTCCGGAAATGTGGGGAAATATCTCAGAGCGGGCCACAGTCTCTTGGCACGACTGTGTTTTCCAAGCCTGGTCGTGTGCCGTCCAGTGAGGGGAGGAAGGCCCCCGGCACCCCCCAGGGCAGCCTGGCCTCCGTCCATACCAGCCACTGTCACTGAGAGGCCTTCGGGTCGGGGCATGCCAAGAAGGAGATCTGGCCGGGTCTCTGTGCCAAGATCACCAAACTTCTAATGTCCCGAGGGATCCAACAGGATGCAACCAGAGCTTGTCATGAGATTAAGATGCAGAGAAGCTGGGCACAAACTCAAGCCATCGCACCCCCGGGTCAGAGGGCAGCTGACTTCATGCCCCCCATTTTTAGTTCAGTGGGGATATCTGGTCTACGTGAGTGTCCGACAGAACGGTTCTACTCTGCTCTACAAGACCCCCCCGGCACCCCCAGCACTCCCATCTGTTTTCGGCAGCCTCAGGCGTGATTCCGTTTGCCAAGGGGCTCAGGTGTTCCTCTGAGAGCCCTTGGAAGTTGGAGCTGGCTGCCCACTCAACTGCTATAGAAAATCCAGCTGCAGATGGAGCCCTGTGAAGAAAACTGAGGAAGGCAATCAAGGTCGCTTACCTTTGATTCCTTCTTCTTGACTTTCTGAGGTAGGCACGGTCTCTGAAGAAAGACAATCTGCTTGGTGGATACATTCCCCTCCCTGTAACACATTCGGAGCTGAGAATGAGCTGTTCCCCCCGGGGGAGCCCCAAACCTCGCCGATGTGTCCGTCCATCCCTAAGGCTGCTGAGGCTGAGCACCCACAGAAAGGAAGCTGCCACCAAACAGTGAGAGGTCAGAAATCAAGAAGCACTCTCCCCAACCCAGGCCATCCCCGCCCTTGCCTCCCGGGGGCTCTGCTAGGGGCTCAACCAAAGCTTTGTGGGCATCTCTGCCAAGCCAGCTTCATAGCTGGAAGCTCCCCTTTCCCTCCATGTGAAATAATAGCTGGCATCTTGGCCAAATGATGATAAACTGGCTTCTTCAGTGAATCTCAAGAGGTGGAAGACCTCTTCCAAATCTGTCTTTGGTAATGAGCCAAGGAGAAGTCAGACGGGCCCAGCAGAGGTGGTGAGCCTGCCCATCAGCCTCTGCAGAAGGCTGGCTGAGCACCGGGGTGTGGCCACCCTCGCGGGGGCCCGAGGCAGCCTGGCTCCTGCAGGCACAGGGGAGGGGAGCTCAGGAGCGCTGCTCATTTTTCTGGCACAGTGAGTGCACTTTCCCCTCGGCCCCCACAGAGCTGCCTTTAAAGATGGCAGAAATATTTGTGAAGGAGATCACTGTCTTCTCTGCTGAGGCAAGTGCCACTGCAAGGAATGTCAGAGGGAAGGGCGGCGGGGAGAAAATGAACATGTTTTGTGCTGGGGCTGGGCTGGATGATTTCACACATCATGGCTCATTTAAGCCTCAACCACAGAGCTCCAGGGAGTGGGACCATGGCCTGTCTGTAAAGACAGGAGACAGAAAGTCATTTAAGGAGCAGGCTTGGGATCACACGGTGAGGATTCGAGCTCAAACCTGCCTGGTTCCATGCGATCTCCACTCCACCCCGAGGCGGCATGCATGGCACAGGGAAGCGGAGGGTTAGGGGGCATTACTGAGCAGGTATGAGATCTGAGAGGGAGACAGAGACACCTGTCTGTACTCTCTGGGTTTAGAGAGCTCAAAACGAGCTGGGGCTTCACATTCAAATCCATTCTCATCGTGACTCTTGTCCTTGGGAGTGGGTCATGGAGCAGGCATTCCTCCAACTTACGGACAAGGAAACGGATTCAGAGAAGCTCTAGGACTTGACCAGGATGGACAGTTAGCAAGTGGAAGGGTCTGGACTTGGGTTCAAGTCTGCAGGTCCCAAATCCAGGGTTCTTTCCACCCCTCCGCATCACCCCATACCCACAGAAGTCTCGGCTGTGAGGCAGCTTGGAGGCTCCCAATGGCCCGGGGCCCAAAGGTGGCTGCACACTGGTGGCGGGAGTGTGCAGACCCGCTGTGGCCCAGTGTCAGGAGGGAGACACTTGAGAGCCCAGACGGCCTCATGGAGGGACCCAGAAAGGCACGGATCGTCCCCATCATTCTCCACCCTCAGTTTGGGCTCTGCTGCTGCACCACCCTGCTGTTCCCCCAGATCACCAGCCTCGCCTCATGCTGGCCATCACCCCACAATGGTGAGCATGCAAGAGGACTCGGGGAAGGTGGAATACAGGGGGCCATGGGAGGGGGCATCCCTGCAGGTCGGTGAGAAGGCTGCCTGCGTGGGAGGAGCACCTGACTCTGGAGACTGAGGTTCTAATCCCAGTTCTGCCACTTACTGGCTGTGTGGCCTCAGTTATGTGACAGAGCCTCTCTGAGCCTCAGTTTTCTCATCTATAAAATGGGAATTCATACCTATGCCTATAACCCCACAGCATAGTTAGGAGGATTCGTTTAGATAAACCCGAAATACGGATGGAAGGCCTTTCAGGGTTGGTATGACGGGCACACGCCCACGAGGCCAAGGGATGGTGGGCCGAGCTAAGGTGGACAAACGCCCCTAAATGTGAAACCATAAGGAGTGCCACAAGCCAGGGCCAAGACTGCAGGTCTTTACATCCTCTTTGTGGGACTATTGACCAGGGCCGTGATCTTGGGTGACTCTGTCAACCTCCCTGGCCATACGTTCCTCAGCTGTAAAATAGGTTTATTAAAGATTCCACCTTGTAGGATTTTTTTCGAGGACTAAATGAAATTTTACATGCAAGGTACCTACCCAGGCCCACACAGGACACATAGTAGGGGCTCAATTTCTTTTGTACCTGAGAGCCCTGGACCCCCTCAACCCAGGAGGCTCATCTTTGACATGCCTGGCAGTCACGATTCACTAGCCAAGGCTCCCCATGTGGGAAGAGGGTGCAGGGGGAGTACCCTGTGGGTTGGTGGTTAAGAATCTGAAATCCCAGCTCCGCTACTTTCCAGCTGGAAAGTCTGGTAACCACTCCAGCCTCAGAGGCTTGTCACAGGACTAAATAAATTATGTGCATGAAGTGCGCAGCCCAGAGTAGGTGTTGCATAACGATGTTGATGATGGTGCTCGTTGTTACCTGGTAGTCTTGACGACGGGGGTTGGTAGCACACAGGTGAGCTGCCAGCCATAGGCTGCCAGGGAGTTCAGCAGGGGCACGTAGTCGGTCTGCACCTCGACACCCTGGGGGAGAAAAGCCACTGTGAGGGCTGCGGCTGCCCCAAGTCAACACCGAGGGGGGACTGGGCCGAGGCGACAGAGCAGGAAAGAGGCGGGGCGCGCCCTGCAGCCCGGAGGTCCGCTCCTCTGACGCTCGCGGACTTCAGAGCCAAACTGCCAACGTGGGATTTCTTTCTGGGCCTGGACTCAGGCTGTGCAGCCGGCAAGGAATTAGAGCCAAAGGATTAATGCATTAATTTAATTGTATTCTTGTGTGGACAAATAGCCTCCTGTGAGTCTCTCTGGATAAGCACAATCACCTGGCCTCAGAGCTGCTTTTAGGGCAGATGACAACACACTGAAGATTTCGGAGGGTGTGGTGGGGAGTTAGATTACATTTCAAAAATGATCACGTTGTTCGCATCCAGCCATGGCAGCAAGACAGACGTGTACCCACGTACACACACACACACACACACAC